CCTTATTGTAGGGCTGGCTATTTGGACCGGGACCGGATGAAAAACCGGAAACCGGACCGTATAACCCGGACCGAGACCGGACCGGGACCGGATAGTAAACAATCCAATCCAATCTTTGGGCTTAGATTTGAGGTAAAAAACCGGATAAAGACCGGATAAGAGAGCTCAATACCCAAAACTTAAGGGTAATTTGCATAAACGGTCACAAACCTTTACACTTAGTACAAAACTTAACCAACTCCTCACCCTTTTAGGCCTTAGGCCACTCAAATTCCCACAATCTCAATATAAAATCAAGACTGAATTGGGACCGGACCGGGTCAAGACCGGACCGGATCAAGACCGGACTGTATCCAATCCAATCTTCGATCCTTATATTCTCAAAAAAACCGGACTGGACCGGATCAATTTGGGCCAATTTAACCGGACCGGACCGTATAGCCACCCCTACCTTATTGGATAAACGGTCGACCTCATGACCTAAACGGTCGACCACACGTACTAAAAAACGTCTTACTTGTCCCAATTCGTGTCCCCGGCCTTCTCTTTAGTAACAACATAATACAAGTCTTCAACTGGATTTTGAAGATTTTTGGTGAATCCTTCTAGACCCTCCACTTTCATGACCTACAAATCATAGTTAAAATTAAGGGTTAATATTTTCGTATGGCCTAAACTTTGACCAAAATAAAGATCCTGGCCAATCTTTTCGATCTATAACATCCTGGCCCGAACTATACACCAAAATAAACAATTTGGCCAGATCCAACTTTTGACCGTTAACTTGGACGGTCAAATGCGTTGACCGTTAGTCAATGCACCATGTCACTGCCAAGTCAGCTTAAAATATTTAAAATAATTCACAATTTCCACACATTCCCTAATTTTAAATTATTATAAATTAAAATAAATCATCTAATACCTTAGTTAAACCAAAAATAAAAAACGAAAAAATTAAATATTTATCAGATCTTCTGACTTGGTAATGACGTGGCGCGTTGACCGTTAGTCAACGCATTTGACCGTCCAAGTTAACGGTCAAACATCGGGTTTGGTCAAATTGTTTATTTTGGTGTATAGTTCGAGCTAGGATGTTATAGATCGAAAAGATTGGCCAGGATGTTTATTTTGGTCAAAGTTCAGGCCATATGAAAATATTAACCCTAAAATTAAAGTAACATATGAACACAAACACACATTATAGATGAATATGTAACGTAAACTTACCCCGTGCTTTTCGAAAGGACTCTTAGATTCATCTTCATCGCTATCAGCACTAAATAATCCTTTTCTTACAAAATGATCCTTCTGTGGAGTGGTGTAGGAGTCACTTTCATATCGAGGTCTCTTGTACTTAGGAGAGGAACCCTTGCTGCCATTCGTTGTTTCACTCTGTTAAACATATAAACAAAACAAATTAGCATTAATGATAGTAATACTAATATCTTCAATCACATATGAATATACTTGGATACCTTTAAATTGTGCTCTTTCAATAAATCGTCTATGCTCTGGTAGCAATTTTCAGAGTCATCATGGTCTTCCTCCTCTTTACCAAAGTCAAATTTCTTTCTTGTACCATATCTTCCGCCATTCTCCATTCGTTCTGCACTTATATCTTTGATAGCACCTTCTAGCCTCTCAAACCCGTCATGCATCATCCCAGTCATATCTGTCAGTCGAACTGACAATTGCTCCACTCTATCACTCATGGACTTCTGAAAGTCATTGACTTGTGTTTGACACACCACCAGCTTCTCTTGTGTGGCTTTCAACAATTTCATGATTTCACCCAAATCTTGATGCAGTCTCTCATCATGCGTCATCCTCTAAACAATTTAAAGAAAAATTCAAATCATAATTCAACTTCAAATTTCTACAATTCACCAAAAAAACAAAGATGTGGTCGACTTGACAAATTATTAGGTCGACCTGGAAGACAAATAGTGACTACCACAACCATTAAGGTCAACCTCTGTTCTTCCTAGGCCGACCTATCCAGCAGGAAAATAACAATTAACAACAAAAAGTAAGTTCAATATTAAACCGAAAAAAGGATAGGTCGACCAGATATATGGCGAGGTCGACCTTTTGAAGCACAACATAGTCATACAAACAAAACCAAAATCGACATTCAGGTTGAATAACCAAAACAAACAGAAACGGTCGACCTTGAAACACATTCCGGTCGACCAATTGGGTTGATCTTCGTTACCTCGCAAGTACGAAAGTCCAAGTGTTGTGCCCTAAATTCAAATCCGAAGAATTGTCTCGTCAGGTCGACCTGGTTGATGTCAAGGTCGGCCGAATGGTATTCTGCACGCAACAATATATGAAATTAGACGGTGGAAATCACGAATTAGAAAAGATGACGGCGAATGCTACATTAGGTCGACCTCACCTTCGACCTGGTCGACCACTTCCAACACGTACAACAGCAACCGCGAACGATGTTCTTCACAAAGGCTCTAAATCGGAAAAAACCTAATTCAGACTTGGTGGCGTTGAAGGGGACTTATATTCGTACTTATAGAGATTTAGGACGTGAATGGGTCGACCCAATTCATTTTCTTGTCTAATTGTGGAACCTTTCTGGTGTTGGAATCCTTATCCAATACGGATACGGTGTGAATGCGGTCGACCGCTTTCTAATGCGGTCGACCTGTTAGGTGCACAAGGGTCGGCCTATGAGGTATTTGGGTCGACCTTTCATTCTGTTATACCACCAAAGAGGTCGACCATATTATGTAAGAGGTCGACCGCGTCTCGGAACCTCACATACATGAATTAGGCAATTCGGTCGACCGCCTTTTGGATTAGGTCGACCGAAAAGTCCATGTCACGATGACATGCATGTCACCGTAGCAAAATCCTTACCATTTGCATGAATAATCTTCAGTTTTGCATAAAGATATAGAGATGGCAACCATTCATGGATCAAATGCATTGGTGGATTCTTGGATTGTATCAAATTAATTGTTTGATTGAGTTTATATAGATCCAAGTAGAATCCAAACAATGAACCAACATATAAATTTCAAAAAGGTTAGGTTCTAAAATGTCATTTTAAAGACATTTGGTTACCCAAACATAAATTTTCAATAATATTTTCATTAAAAATTAAATTTGGGTAACAAATGGAAACAATAAAAAATAGAGACTTATTTCAATAAACAAAACTACAGTTACAATCTAAGTGGATTTGATTAGTTTAATATTTAAGTGGATGGATTGATTAAATTGAATTGAATTGTATTGTATATATTGGATACAAAATTGTCATCTCAGCACCAAATTACGTTAATAAATAAAAAGATGCTTGAATTTTATTATGGTTCACACTTTGTAAATCTACTTATCTTCTAAAACATAACCAATCAAATGGAATTTGTGTTATCTAAGCCATAATTAATTGAAATTTGGGTTAGTGGACTGGCTCATCTTTTCCACTAATTGTTAGTGATGTCTTACATTATACATACATTGACGGTTGAAAATAACATTCAGGATCATCCACTATTTTTTATTAATATTTTATGATGACGTCTCGTTAGCCCAAAGTGGTCCAACTTGACCGCTCAAGATATAGTGCATAACCAATAGTTATGCACTCATGAGTAATTAAATATGAATCGTTCATTCAGAAAATTCAGATCTAAAGGTGGAAAATTAAATGTATTTTTATTTTTTTTTTGTTTTCTTAATTGGCTCTAGGGGTGACGGATCGGTTTTCAGTTAGCAGTTAACCGCCGGTTTCAACCGAAAACCGACTCCATTGCACAACGGTAGGTGTTCGGGAAGGTTGGGGCGGTTAGCCGATCAACCGCCGGTTAATCGGCTAACCGCCCCACACCCCAACCCTCCCAAAACGACCCCGTCTCCCCCAAAATCTCTAAGGCCTCTAACCCTAATCCCCTTCTCCCAGACCCCCCCGCCGCCACCTTTGACAGATTCAACTAGGTTCGACCGAAACCCGCCATCTAACGATTGGAATTCATTTCGGTTAGACGATTATGAAAAAAATTCTAAACCGGGCTAAACAAGTCCAAATTGGGTTGAACCAATTGAAATTAAGTGGTCTAACCAATTAAACTCGGTTTTGAAAATGAGGATCGATAATTTTGTAATATATATTTCTTATGAAGAAAAAATTTAATAATATAGGAATGTAGATTAGTGAGGTGGTTTTGAAATATGTCAAACAACCATATATATATTTATGGTTATGTCTTCGGCGCACTTACTTTTTTGGGGTGCACTCAATGCACCCGCCTCATAATCGTCATTCTGAGCGAGCGATTCATGTGAAAACGATGCCAATGATCACTTGTGGTATGATGAACAAGAACCACATGAATTTGTACAAAAATCATTAAAGATTCACTTTAATTTGAATGATTTAGGGTTTAGGAATTTAGGATTAGGGTTTACAATTTGGGATTTTGGGGTGGGATTCAAAATTGAAGGTTAATAGGTTAGGGTAATGCATTAATTAGTTGTGATTCTATGTTGTATCATCATATTAGACTAATGCTAACCATTATATTTCAAACTTTAATGTATTATGACCACTTTTAGAGTTGAGTGCATTCAAAAGTGAGTATATCGAAGTAGTCACCTATATATATTTATTTGATATTAGAGATTTTCTTACATACTATGTTAAAATTGACTTAAACTAGTTGAAGTTGATCGGTCCATTAAATCAAATCACTTGTCGAACCGAATTGATGGTTTAATCCGGATTGACAAGTGACAACCTCAAGGCTATAACGCGGTTACCTCATCCGACGATCCATATTGGTCCGCCACCTAAACCACCAGTCTACCAGACTACCACCACACCCACTCCCCAAACAAAACCAGAACAAGGGAAAAACCAAAACCATTTTTTTTTCCTTATCGGCGGCCGTTCATCGTCTTCGTCACGAATAGCTGTGCTGTCCTCTTGCTCCCAAATTCCCTTCCGGTCTTCCAAAGAGGCGGAATCTCACTCGAAGATGTGCTGTGGACGTCAAGGCGGCTCCTTATCGCCGCGAGATCTAACCCACCGCTCCCGCAACCGCCGGTCGCCGGGCGACGACACCGAAGACGAAGACGACAGCGAATCGGTGATCGAAGATCTACGCGGGAGACTCGCCGAGACGGAGGCAAGGCTCGAGCGTGCTAGGGCTCGGGAAGCTGAGCTCAGCCGGCGGCTGGAGGAAATGAGGCGGTTTGTCTCGGTAATGGAGATTCTCGAGTCGTATCTCAAGCGACGGTTCCACGAGCAACAAGAACGAGTTTCCTGTCTATTCTCCTCTCTCGCTGCTAGAATGAAGGGTCTCAAGCGGTGATTTCTCTCCACGCATGCCCTTCCTCTGTATCATTTCGCCTTCCTGCTGTTTGGATTGAATCGTCCAGGGCATATAATCTTCTGTAATTTGATCAGCTGTAGTTGATTTCCGGCTGTGTTTGTCAAATGTTTGGTAAAGGTAATACACAGCAGATATTCCAAAGAATGTTGACTCTTCTCCATAGCTTGATTTGCCTGAGTTTCGATCATGGATCCATTTCCTGCTTCCCAGAGATTCTCGCCCAATTTACCAACAAATTCTATGATGAAATTGGTATTTCGTCTTGGGAAGAACACCGAATACCTGCAAATTCAGTGGTTTTGGTTGCATCAGTTGACGGGTTTGGGTTGGACTTGATCATTTCGTCCAGAATTGGTAAAACTATCATCTACCCCGTGCAGAGTGTTGACCTAAGAAACTGCTTTAATTTGCTTCTTTGATTAATGGCAGATAGACTCCATTTGAGTTGTTGGTTCTTTGTGGTTGAGCGCTGTGGAAGTTGAAGTTCTCAACTTTTCATGGCTATGTTGTGTTGATATTGGGGACATTGTATCTGGTTTTGCTTTGGCTATTGGTTCTTAAGAGCTTTGAAGTTAGAAGTTCTCTCCAGGGCAAGCAGGGTTTCGCAGAACCATGAAACTTTGAAAGCTCCAAGATGTGTGTTAGAGGTTAGTGTGAGGATTGGTGATGATGCTTTTAAGGGATTAGCCATCTTTGCCAGTAGATGAATTGGATCATAAGCCTTCAAGGTTTGCATAGCTTATCTTGTTAGTGAAGTTCTCTATAGATGATGGGTATGGTGATGTAGAATCTGGCACCTAAGATGAAACCCTAATTCCATCCCCCAAAGTTCCATCGTGTGTGTGTCTGTGTTTGGGCTAGGAAGATGCAATTGATTTTTGAGTAAGTAGCTATAAGTGGTAGATGCGTCTGAAACATTGTGATGTTGCTTTCTATACAGATGGCTACGGCCTACGAGACATCCGGACCAAGATCGATTTGGGAAATCCGGTGTGTTAGGGCAGGGCGGCCAGATTGCTACGCATTGTTCTGTATATCATGGTTCTTGAGGCATCTGGCAAAGAAGTGGACTGAACAGCCAAAGATGGAATCATCCTGATTCCTGAACTCATCTTTGGGAGTAGGGCACGGAAGCGGGAGTTGCATTGGTCATAAGATAAGGTGAGCTCCACGACTATTACGTATCTAACAGGAGCAATCCAGCCACATGATGATGATGATAATTGACGAAGAAGGCATCATTTGCGATCATGAGAAAATTGGGAATAGAATACTCATCACTGTCAATTCATTTGTAATGGAAGGCGGCCAAAGATAATTACTGCTCATAACTTCAACTAACTGATGAACCGACGCTCTCGATTCAGGAGGAGAGAACGACGTTGGTGTCGATAACGATAAACCTTTAGTTTTATTATTCGATACGAAATTAATGCCGAACTTACATATTTATAGGCGATTAAACCTATTATATAAACCTAACTAATCTCTAACCCTACTAACATAGCCGACTTGGCCACACAAGAAGTCTCCTAACCAGTCTCTAATTATTCCAATGGCCACTAACCAAATACAACTATTTGGCCAATGCAACTACATATTAGCTACGTAAACCTACTAGCTTAAACAACGAGATTTTTCCATAATAGCACCTTAAAAAAAAAAATTACAAAAATAGCACCCATTATGTAGAAATTACAAAAATAACACCATTTTTTAAAAATCGCACCCCTAGTGCGTTTTGCATGTAAACCGCACCCCCTGGTGTGTTTTGTCATTAAACCGCACCTTGGGGGTGCGTTTCAGTTTTGTGGGCAAAAATCGCATCTTGGCCATGCGGTTTGCGGTCTGACCTAACCAAACCGCATGGCCCAGATGCGGTCTAGGCCTGACCTAGCAAAACCGCATTTTGGGGGTGCGGTTTTGCTTCTCCAAAGCAAATCGCACCCTCAAGGTGCGGTTTTGGTAACACAAACCCCCCCCCCCCTCCCCCCCAAATGCGGTTTGTGTGTAAATTATTTTTCCGACACAGAACAAGCAACCATGCAGATTCACAGACGTGGGGTTGCATGGCAGATGAAAACCGCACCTCTAAGGTTGGTACTTGTTATGTATGTTTTCAATTCTTGTCAGAGTTAGAGCTATGATGCTTGCAACTTTCATGTTTTCAAATAACCCTTAATTAACACTCAAGCCTTAAGTTAACACGATCAAAATAGAGAAAGCCAAGAACTTAGAACTAAAATAAAAACTAAAACAACACTCAATTAAAGAAACTAAAATAGAAGGGTTTCAAGTACATATAATTAAAACATAACTAAAAACAACACTTAAAATGATAAAACTAAAAATCAATCCATCTCAAGGAAGTCCCTGGGACTCATGGGGTTGCAAAGTTTTCTGGCTCCTTGTAGGACGGCCGACGGGAGTGACCATCGGTGGTTGCGGTGGCAAGTTTCGCTGGGTCGTGCTAGGCGCTCGTCGGTGCTGTGTCGGCGTCGATCCATGGTATGCGGCGCTTCCGGGGCCGAGCGAGGGACATCGACGCTCATACAGTGAGGGGTAGGAGGCCAGTGCTGATTTGGGCGATGAATGGGATTGAAGTCGTGATGCGCAGTCGTGGAGGAACCATCATGCCAAGTTCACGAGGATGTGGGGAGTTCGTTGAAGAAGTTTGGGCGGGGATCATAGTATGTAGGGCGAGGATCATAGTGTGATGGGCGGGGATCGTTGTATGAGATCGGGTGGGGATCATATGGAGATTGATGTTAGCTCGGAGGGGATCTCGGGAATTGCTCATGATGGTAGGTCGGGCGGGGATCTTGGGAGTGGCTCGGACGAGGATCTTGATGTGAGCTCGGACCGCCACCGTGTGCCACAACCAAGGGGGTCGGCACTCTCCACGCCTCCAACGGCTTTATCTCGGGCTCATGAGGTCTTTCTCGAACCTTCTTGCTTTTCTTTCTCTCGTATGGTGGTGGGGGATGGGGGACATCAACTTGTACCGGAGGTGGGGCCGGTGCGGGCATGGGTGGGTATCTACGATGATCACGACCCTGTGCTCTTATACAACCAAGCATATTGTTTGTCATCCTCCGAATGAAGCTCACATCTTCATGTCCCATTTCATGTTTCCCATGGGTCAACGTTTTGATCCGCTCGATCCCATCAGCCTAAATCACAAAAAAAGGTTAGCAATATAAGACTAATGATGTGACATAATGAAATAAGCAATAAATTTAATCTTATTAGACGGAATATACTTACCAATGCACCATCGACCGCATCCTCCGGAGTCACGTACCGAACCGATGTTTGCCGATATCTATCCATGTATGGGTCATGATACCCCATTCGACCCACACTTGTTGGAGTGACAATATCCTGAAGTTGTCGGTTCTCCCATACCGCGATCAATTCCGCCAACTTCGTGGGCCAATTGTGAGTACCTTGCCGACCATCTCGGTGGTGAAACGCCCTTTGACTCTCGGGGACTTCCAACGGAATGCACTGCTCCCGACCAAACTGACGAAGGCATCGATCCGGTAGGTGCCACTCCACGGTCCCTAAACAAATGAGAGGGACCCTCATGCATCATTGCCCGATATTCTCGGGGAATTGCTGTAAATGCCAATGAACGATGTTCGCCGGGTATGGATAGAATTTGATCTACAAAAAAATATTAGTAACTTAAGTTAAATCTGATTGGAAAAACACATGTACTCCATGAAAAAGAGTTATAGCACTTAGAAGTTTTCAAGTTACCTCTCCTTCCCAAAGTCGCTCTAGCCTCCTCCGATACTCTACCAACTTGTGTTGGGCAAGGTTGTCGCATGTTGAGGCTCCAACCCACCTTATTAATAAGACGATAATAAAAATACACTCAATTAAAATAAGCTAAAAAATAAGGATAATTGTGTTATTAAAATCATGATGGGGTATGAGAAATTTACCTATAACCATAAGCTTCGAGTCTTAGGGGATGATCGGGACCCCAATTCCTGTCAGGACATTGGAGCGGTGAAATCCATGGCAGATACTCCCAGCCCAAAACTGGACGATGAACATTGCGCCGCCGACCTCCCTCACAGCTTTGAGAGATGCGTTGCACAAGTGGTGGTAGATATTAGCTAGGCAAGTGGATGCCCAGCTCAACTCCCCCATCGCATCTCAACTACCATGGAGGATCCTAAGCCATCCACAGCTAATTAAATTGCTCGATTTTTTTGGAGAAGAACACTCCTCCTACCTTTATTATGTTTGTAATAGGCAAGGCTCTACTAGTGAAGTCAATGTTGAGAAACAGAAACAGGGAGATGATTCGGTTGTAGAGAGAAGTCACCCTAAAAGAAAGAGGTCTCGAATTAGGGTTGGATGCCCCGCCCTTGTTCGTTTCCGATGGGATGAGAATAGGGCTGGATATGTGGTGCACAATTTCATTGGAGCTCACAATCATGATTTGCACTCCACCAAGCATGCTCACCTATTCAAGTCAAACAAGTCCGTGAGCGTTCCTCAAGGACTTGTTGCTGAAGCAAATCGCAACGTCGGGATGAGTCTTAGGTCATCGTATTAGCTATTGGCTGAGTGTGCCGGAGGGTATGAGAACTTGACTTTTACCAAATCTGATAAGAAAAACCATTTGAACAAGAACCGACAAAAGACTATGTTTCGTGGCGAAGCGACTTTCTTGCTTGACTACTTTCAAGACCAAAAGAAGAAGTATCCCGGCTACTTTTATACTGTGGAGGTAGATTGTGAGGAGAAAGTTGACAATATTTTTTAGGCAGACAAGAGGATGCGTGAAGATTATGCACTTTTCGAAGACTCTGTCTCCTTCGACACCACCTTCCGAACCAATAAACACTTCCGGCCATTGTGTATGTTAACCACTTAATTTCCTTATTTTTTTGGACACGCTTTTGGTTATGCATTGTTTTTAATGTTTGTCTTTTGTAGGGATGTTTGTAGGTTTCAATCATCACCGACAAACTTGCGTGTTTGGCGCTTGTTTGTTATATGACGAGACAACTCCTTCTTTTGAATGGTTGTTTGAAGCATTTAGTCGGTGCATGAAGAGGAAACTCCTAGTGACCATCTTCACAGATCAGGACGCCGGTATGGCAGTTTCCCTTAGAAAGGAGTGGCGTACTGCGTTTCATGCCCTCTGTACTTGGCACATCTTGATGAATGTTACGAGCAAGAAATTTTGGCATAAGTTCCAAAATCATCTTGCTTTTCTTTTCTAATACGACGACAGCGAGGCCGAGTTTGATGAGGCATGGAGCAGCATGGTTGCTGATTGTTTTCCCGGTAGTGAAACTGTGGATGGCCACCAATGGATGCAATATCTGAAGAAATTTCGTCATCAATGGTGTTCCTTATAATTGAGAGATCAATTCACAGCGGGGATGTTGACAATGCAAGCAGCGAGTCGTGCAATGCACAAGTGCGACTCTTCTTGAAACCGAAAAATAATCTCGATGAGTTTTTCATCCACTTTACCTGGTACGTTATAAGAATACTAGTTTGGTTATATGGATATTACTTAGCACCTTACTGATATTTATAGATGCTTTTTGTGGTATTGGTATGTGATGGTGTGATATATTTTTGTGTTGTTTGGGTATTTGCTCTGTTTGTATATGGATATCAGTCTGGGCAATCAACATTTTGGTTTTCTTCATACATGCAGTTTATTGGCTGACAAAAGGCACAAAGAGACTGAGTCTGACTACATTAGGAAACAATCACCCCCTTAAATAGTGTTAGAGAAAAGCTCGATCCTCCAACATGCTGCCAAGATCTTCACGAAAAACATCTTCAACCGGATTCAAGAGCAGTATCTGGAAATTGAAGACTATCTAATTGAGCTTGTCCCAAATAATAGGGATGATGGTTTCATTAGCTACCTTACATATAAGATGGAGGATGGTGAGCGTAGCGATGAACGTGTCACTCTTGTCGATATTTTTACAGCCACATTGGTATGTGAATGTAGGATGTTTAGAACATTCGGGGTGTTATGTCGGCATATGTTTAAGGTGATGCGATTGCTTGGAGAGTTTGGGAATGATAGTATGAGAACTATTCAAGATAATTACATACTCAAGCGATGGACATTGGAGGCGAGAAGGAAAGAGGTTGGTAATGCTAATGCTTCAGGAGGTACTTCACATAGTCATGAGAACGATACGTGAAAAGGAGATATAACAATGAGGTACCGAGAAACTACTTCAATGTTTAATCAGCTCGCAACAAAACTGTCAATGGCGGATGAGAAAGTGTACAACAGGTGGATGAGAGCATTGAAGAAAGTGTGTGATGACTTGATATTTACACATGTTTTTGCCCACCGTTCTTACACCGTTTGAGTCTTATTTCTCGTATTTTAGGCCGATTTTACGCTAGGTTGTTCTTGTTTGTGATATTTCAGGTCCTAGTACGTGAATGAAGGTTTGGGAACGAGTTCAGGGTCGATTGGACGAAGATTGGGCGTTTGCCAAGAAGCTGAGGAAGCCACACGGGCACACCTAAAAACCCACACAGCCGTGTGACCTGGCCGTGTGGCACCAAATTGCACGGGCAAGCCACACTGGCCGTGTAGGGGACCCCTTGTGGCTGTGTGGAAAGTCCAGGGAGCTCACACGGGCAGCCTGGAAATCCACACGACCGTGTGGTTTTGGCCGTGTAGCGTACCTGAAGCTACTTAAGTGAAACGTAACGTTTTGCACACTCACACGGGCACGCCTAAAAAGCCACACGACCGTGTAGCCTGCCCGTGTGGTCGGAAATTTCTGGGTTTTAACCCAATTTCGAGCCAAATGAGAGGGAATCGACTTTTTTTGGAGCAAAAATAGAGCACTAGAGAGAGAAAGTGCGAAGATCACATTCTAGAAGTGATTTTGGAGCTGGGTTTCATCAATCGAGCTTGGAGATCATCACAGGAGTGAAGATTGACATCCCACAGCAGATTCTTCCCATTGTTATGAGTATGGCTGCTTTGTATTCTGTTTTCTCTCTCTCTCTCTCTTCATGGAGTAGAACTCTCTCTCACTTGGGTATGAAGAACCCTAGTTCCATGTGTTAGGAATCTTGATTGTAATTACGTTTGGATTGTGATATTGCTTGATTATAATAGATTGAAGTGTTTTGAATGAGTCAATTGAAGTCTGATCATCTTTTATTGATTTCTGCTGCAACCTGAGATAGATAGAATCTGATTAGGTTGTTAGAGCTTCTTCAGTCGGTAGTAGTGAATCGATTATACGAGAGTTAGTCAATTCACTGCTTTGTACTGGAATCTAATTCCAGTAGTGGAGTTCTGTGTTCATTGCCTCCGCGTTCTATCCCAGTGAAGACTAGTCGTCTGCCGAGTAGTTTGATTGAGAGGGCTTGGTCAGCTTAAGAGATTCCAATCTACTGTCGGATCTTCCGCAATATAATCGGCAGTAAAGAAACCAAAAGTAATTACAACTATGACCTAACTAAGGAGCTAGAGGGACTCATTCCCGAGTGACTCTTCCTTTGCTTTAGAAAACCAAACCATTTCCTGCTTTCTTACTGCTTTTACTTAAATCAACAATCATTCGACTTAGTTTGCTAGATAACAGATATACACGGAGTATGCAGTAGATCTAGACCCCGGGTTGACAATTAGAGCTTGCCTGTTACTGCATTTCTGGACTGCGATTACACTTGGTCGCAGTTTGGTGTTGTGTTCTAGCGTGTCAAGTTTTTGGCGCCGTTGCCGGGGACCTCTAGGTTATTGTAGAAACGTGAAAGTCTGTTACTTTAGCATTTACTTTTATGCATCCTCTCTTTTCCACCCTTGCTTTTCACTTGGGTATTTTGTTTTTGTTGGTGCAGATATGATACATGGATTCTCAAGGCTTCTCCAATCATTGGGGGTATCCACCACCACGTGAGTGGTATTACCCCGAGCCTTCATGGAGCACCCAAGGAGGAGAAGACTATGGAGTCGGGTTTCAGTACCAACCCCCTACTACGAAGAACAATCAGACCCTTGGGTATTTCAAGAACAATCTCATTATCAAGAAGAATTCCTCCCACAACTAGAAGGGCCATCAGATCTTGATTTAGCCACAACCTTCACGGGCCATCCGGCAGTGCCATACTACACCCCACAGCCAGATCCAAACTATCACTTGAGGCTTCTCGTGGAGCAGATTGCTCGAGTACCTGAGAGATCCTTTCCCGAGATGGATTCTCATATCCAGGCCATGGCCCAAACTGACTTCTCCTTTCCCCGTGAAATAGAGGATACCCTTTGGAGCATAAAGAAGCACATAGAGGTCATTGAGAAAGCTTGTGCACAGTTTTCTCAAGACAACCTTTATGCTGCCATACAAGTAGATGAGGAGGAAGAAGAAGGCAATCATGACGATGTTGAGGAGCATACAAAAGTTATCACAGAGAACTCCCATGATAATCATGATCAGGAAAGTCCTCTGGTTGCAGATCACACCTTTCCTCATTTCTGCTCTAACATGCTGGGCCCGTGCGAGGAGATGCAAGATGATCCCATTGAAGAAATTGCTTGGCGACTTGCTCTCCAATCAGTTCTAGAAGAAGAAGAGCGAGCAAGGATGGGGAAGGAAGTTGTGGAGGATGAGAAAGAAAGCAAAGAAGAGGTAGTTCTTTATCTTTTCCAAGGGGAGAGACCACATTTTGAAGAAGGAAGGGGGTTGAGGAAGCAATTGACGTCCAGGCCGAGGATGAAGTTGAGGTAGAAGAGGCATGCACCGACCATGAGTTACATGTGATATCTCCACCAAACTTCGAGAAGCTGCTTGGAAAGGACCCATTTGCAGTGTCTCTTTGCCAGACCAAGACCACATCAACATCTCCCTCTTGGTGGATGCGATGGTGGTCAATCGATGATATCTTATCTAGTTTGGGGCAATGAGACAAGAGTAGACGCGAAGGAGAGGTCTCATGAGTGGAGACTTCATCTTCCTCAAGGCCACGAGCCATCTTCATCACCTATCACATCACCTGCTTGTGACTTGAGACTCCACATCATCGACGAGAACCTCAACTTCAACGAGGTTCTGGGGTGGACCGAAACTTAGGAGCCACCGTCCAGCTAAAGACGTAAAAGAAGCGCTTGTGGGGAGACAACCCCACCAAGGTTTGTTTTTCTTTTGATTATTTTTCGGTTTGTCCACTTGGAACTATGGTTTCTATCACCCAGTGTGTTTTGATGACTCTAGCCCTGCTGACTGGTCCCATTTCCAGCCCCCCGACAGTCCGTATTCCTGGTAACATCGTTTCCCCTTATCTTTCCCTCTGCTCCATTGAGGGCAATGTCGTGCTTAAGTGTGTGGGTGGGGGGTGTTTAACTATTTTTGACTGCTAGATGAGTTTGTGTGCTTGGAGCCTAATTCACTGTCCAATTAGATGAATTGAGGGCTCCAAGTACTGTTTCGTGCAAAATCCTGCTCAGTATGCTTTGAATTGACAATCTTTATGGTGATATGCAACCTAGGGAGGCAGTTGTAGCACTATGGAGGATGTTGAAGCATAAGATTTTTCCTATCTGTCTCTGTGCTGTGCCGGTTGATTTTGCGAACTAGTGGATTTAGGACAGTTGATTCATGTGGTATTGATGACTCCTCTTATGTTGTGTTGTGGACTCGTGTATCAAAAAAGGGTGATCAGTGTGAGTCTTATTTCTAGATAACAGATATACACGAAGTAGGCAGTAGATCTAGACCCCGGGTTGACAATTAGAGCTTGCCTGTTACTGCATTTCCGGACTGCGATTACACTTGGTCGCAGTTTGGTGTTGTGTTCTAGCGTGTCAGTGTGCAAGGAGGCAAACAAGGCATTGCCAAAGACTATAACTAGCGAGGACGGTAAGTGTATCGAATATGATTTGTAAATTAGTATAAGTTAAATATCATTGGACGGATTACTTAAGCCACTAACATTGTAGGGAATTCTGTACCGACAAGTGGCCTCTCTCTCAAGGAGAAGAGTAATCCAAGGAAGCACGACAAGGAACATTATCAGTCCACGAATGAGAAAGAGCGTCGTCGAAAGAAGATTGTCTATGGAAAGAGATTGAAAGCATTGGAAGTGCTCACGCAGGACACCCATTTTCAACATGATAACCATCTCACTGACTTGGAAGACGACATTGCTGAATTTGTGAGAGGATATTAGTTTGTCCAAAAGTTCCCAAAATAACCCAATCACCTTAATACCTTAACATCAACATATGTAAAATGAAACAGCTGGTGGTAAGTTTCAGCTTCTCTTCCTTTTCTCCTTCTGTGTTGCCCACTCATTTGCCTCATCGAGTATGACATTCCTTACTTTGTTGCATTGCCATCGAAGGAGATTGGCTGCAATAGATGCTCGCTGGTGCTCCACGTGTTTTTGCTTGTGCCAAGTTTCCTTGTATTCCGATGGAATGTGACCCGTCCAATGCTCCATGAACATGCATGCGAACGCTTCACAGTCATTGTTTCCATCTTGTTGAGGATGGTTTGCTTGCATAGGGAAAAAGATATGAAACATAGAACACATAATTATTTATCCCCGAAACCCAGAAGAATATCTCTACAGCCCAGACAAGTATCCAAACAAACATTTCAGATATTCACATGCAAATCTTCAGACAAATCAGTTATTCTCTCGGACAAATATCCAATAAACCCAGACAAGTATCCAAAACTAACATCTTAGATATTCACAAGCAAATCTTCAGACAACACAGAATAGTATCGATACAATTCAAAAAAATATCTAAAACATAGAACACGTAATTATTTAT